TCAAATGTTAGTGATTCTGATTCAATACCTTAGCAAAGAGATATTAGACATTTGGATTAAACCTACATGAGGTTGCCATTGTGGTTTAAGTTGCTGTTGATGGAGGATGTGTAATCGATGTTTAAGTTTGCTATGCTTATGGTTAATGATTACGATAAAATACTGGAGGAAGTGTAAAAACAATGGAAATTCTAGGTGACGTGTGCTTTGCTGCAAGATTTTTTTTCAGACAGATAAATTAAATTACATGTGACATGCGATTCTTGAACCAATAAATCAAGAAATCCTAGTGTAGTTTACTAGTCTTGTTTGTCTACAGATTACGCTTATTCCGTCACTTTGACCCGTTCCGGATATTGGTGTGTAGCGGAGACGGATCTGTTGGATGGGTGCTTTCAGAAATTGATCGGCTAAACATGCAGGTAATACTAAGATTTAGCGTAACTGTAAGCTTAATACTAAGATTTAGCATAACTGTAAAATAATCATTTAAAATGTTCGAGTGTCCCCCCCAAAAGGGGGGATTTGGGGAGCAACTAAAAATCTTTCAATGTAAACCCCCATCAAGTGACACCTCATTTTGAAGTGTTAACAAACCTTAAAGATTGGTGAAAACCAGAGTTTGCTATCTCTTCTCTATCCAAACTGGTAGCCAATATTACCATTACGAACCAATTTTACCGTTGATTTTCCACAACATCTTGACGGGCTACCATTGGCTACCATTTTGGATAGAGAAGAGATAGCAAACTCTGGTTTTCACCAATCTTTAAGTTTTTGTAAACACATCAAAATAAGGTGTCACTTGATGGGGGTTTACATTTAAAATATTTGAGTTGCCCCCCAAATTTGGGGGGACACTCAAAAATTTCAAAATCATAAAATGAAACTTCCTGCTAAGATTGCACGACCACCAAAAGGATATCTCTGTATATTTACTTGGAAAAATATTAGAGGGGGGTGTCTTAACTTTATTCACCCTGTATAACTAAGTGTTGTGTTTGTTGTACAGAAGCAGTGCCAAGTAGGAGTGTTGCCGCTAGGGACGGGCAACGACCTGGCCAGAGTGCTGGGTTGGGGCTCGTCTTGTGATGACGACACACACATTCCCCAACTACTGGACAGATATGAGAAAGCTAGCACCAAAATACTTGACAGGTAATTCAAATTAATACATGTAATTCACAATATTCTCTGGTTGGGATTTGTTTTAACCGTCACAAGTTGCTAAGAATTGTCATTATTGCCATCTGCAAATAAATTATGTCCCTTCCCAAACCAAAAGTACCTAAAGTCCATTTCTAGTACAATTACTGGTCTTGTTACTATCTAAGGTAGGCCTAGACTTTTTTGTCAGATAGCATCATTATGACATTGATGAAGGTTCTACTGTTATCGATTTCGGCGATTACACCTTATACCTAGAATCGCCGATATCAATAACAGTAGAACCTTCTGTAGTTTTTGCCTTCCCTAGATAAAGACTCCATCACAAACCAACAGTCAGTGAGTAGTTGAAAATGGTGACTACCAAAACGAGTGTCCTACAAAGATGTACCAAGTGCGTGCAGACGGAAGAAAGGAGTGTGAATATATGTGATTTATCCAGCACAGCACAGAGTTCACCAGAGGCTCTTGAAGTTTGTTTATAATATTACTTAATGCTATTCCTAGAGTGTCACTTTACTATCACATAGCCAAGGCCATTGAAAATCAGTAATATTTAAATATAGGACCTCTGGGATGGAAGCTCTTTTCTCTACTATTAGACCAGCTTGTTCCCAATATTTAAGGGGTTTGGGTATGACAGTAGACAAAAACAAACCGATTTAAACCAAGGTTTTTTTCCAAATAGTGGTGAACTTTATACAAATACAATTCTGAAACAGTTGACACATAGATATTGGACCAAAGTTGTTTTATTATTATTTTACAATAATTTTAAATACTTATACCTGTATGTCTTGCGTTTATAAACATTTTTACTACATTATTCAATTGTAACCTTGTGTGTCTGGGTTTCAGGTGGAGCATAATGACGTTTGAGCGCAGCATATCCATGGGATCATCCACCAAGTTGACGCTGAGCGGGGGAGTGACGGAGGAGACAGTCACGAGCATGGCGGCGTACGAGGACTCGGTAGTGGCGCATCTAGCTAAGATACTTCAGTCCGACGACCATTCCGATATAATAGCTTCAGCTAAGTGAGTTTTGAATAGTCATTCATTTATCGTTTCACAGATTTTTGTTTATCATTGAAAATTTTAATCTAGTATACAACGCTGGCCAAAAATTATATTCTAGTAAGGTAGTAAAGTTAACGATTGTTTTTTTTTATTTTAAACTTTTGAATACCGTACATGGTTACTGTAAAACTTAACTGATAAACAATTGTTGAGAAAACCTATTGGTGACGTTATTCATAAGACCTTTAACTGCAACATAAACAACTTTAAAGTAACGGAAATTGTGATCTAGTGTGGTAGTGGCCATATTGCAATAATTTTGGGACATGTTTTCCTACACTCTACACTTTCAGCTATCCGATGAACCATGTCTCTTAGTGTTGTTTGTACTGTAGTAAAAAAATGCTGCATTGAAAATTACTGTTGAAACGGTTGTCTTAAGTTTGTTTACTGGCAATGGAAAGGTATGTTTATGCTATTTTAATTTTATAGAAACAATTGTTATGGCTTGATAAATGATCTAATTTGTATGTCAAATACAAGGCTTGTAAATCAAGGTCTCGTAGCAACAAGCTCCTGTCTCGCAACCAAGCGAGTAGTTCAAATCTGAGACTACCCGTATTCTTTTCTTAATCCATTGCCATTTTATCCAATTCTCACCTCTAGGTGACGATTCAAGTACTCTAAAACTGAAGAAAAAACTAATCTTCTGTCAAAATGTTGTGGTCTCAAGAGTTAACTGGTATTGTAGTCCATTGCCAGTTGACGTATGTGAATGAAGTAAAATGTGGAGGGAGTTCAGAGGTCTTATAGAGATAGTGTTAACAACATGAGTAGAAAATTTAAGGTACAAGCCTTGGTGAGTGCCTCAAATCTGGTCAAAGCTGGTCTATTTACGCGAGTTATGTACACTACTTTACCTACGACAGTGTTTTAATTACTAAAAATCACTACTCATAACTTCTAAGAGAGTTTATGTTTTCATTTATAACATCTCATTGCCACTGACAGTGATGCAATGAAACATTGTACCAAACACTAATTGCACCATTCAACAATTAAATTGGGCTGAACAGCTGATTAGTTGAAGTTTGAATCATTACAATTTTACTTCTTCTCTCTCAACCCTTGAACCTCATTGGTCCGTTACCTGTGTTGTTAAATAAAACAATGCTGTTATGAAAGTAAACAATGCTGTTTGTTTTATGAAACTTTTCAATTCTAAGAACTGAACTGAAACACCTAGGCTACTTTAAAAATGTTCGTAGGTAAAATATTTTAACACTGTTTGGTGTAGTGTAAGCCAGTCAATGTTCATAAGTCTTGTTTGAGGCTCTGGCCAAAGTTAGGGTATTTACTATTTTTTCTGCAGATAGTTTGACTGTACGAGGTTTGTATGTTGTCATCAGGGTGTTGTGTGAGACTGTCAAGGACTTCTCACTGAGAGCTGCAGACCTCAGTCTGGGTCAGGGAGACAGAGAGTTCAGTGAAAAATGTCAAGTACTGCGGCACAAGCTGGACTTGCTGCTAGAGTCGCTTCGCGATCAAGAGCAATCGCTCAAATCCCCAGTAAGTGGTTTGTATATAAATGCATCAGTCTCTATTTGTATGTCTTTAAAATTGATTGTTACTTGAAGTTGAAAAACGATGTTGCCAACTTGTTTGAAAGATTGTTAGTCCCTTCTTAGTCCAAGTTTGGCCAACGTTCTCCATGTCCAAATAATACTTTATGTATAATACTTTTACCTCTGGTAACTGGTTTGTTTATTTTATAAAGAATAGAATTGGATCTATAATTTTCATTACTTTAAAACTTTTGAATACAGTAAGGTTCCTCAACAAAGAAAAATATTACTTTTTTTCAAGAAAAATAGTGATGTTTTGAGTTTTGATGTTTGTTAAAGTTTTGGAACAAACTTTGGTTTTGCTTATATTTGTAAAATCCTAAATATATAGTTTTTTATTGGCAATTGTAACAAAATAATTCTCTGAGTTTACTCAAGAACTGGTTAACTGGTCAAATTGATTTTGTAGGAAAACCAAAATGAACCACCAGAAAAAGAAGATGTGAATCAAGATGAGGAGGAAAAACCAGTAAAGTTGGTCAGTTCTTAAAAAACTGCCTGAACCAGTTTAAGTAGTGGCTGCATTCCCCTATTTTTCTTGTTTTAAAATTAGACCTTAGGTTTTATAGAAACCCCTTTGCTAGATAATGCATCAACTTTAGTTGTCTTCTATCCAACAGTATAATTTTCTATACAGTGTTAGTTTCCTAAACTTTGAAATAAGTGAGTAGTTATGAAAATGTCTTGCTTTTCGGTATTTTTTTTTTTAAGTGATGATTGTCCTTTTAGTATAAGTATTAAACATTAGCATGGGATTAACAATTATAAACTACATGAGTAGCTTCTGTTAGTTAAGGTTTTGTTCTTAAGTTACCAGAATAATACAATTCTTTGTTGTACCGTTACTAGTTGTAATTTGACACTCTTTCAAAATAAAATATTAAATACTAATAATATAATGAAAATAATTTTTAATAAATATCAACCCATTGACCATTCAGGGTTGCAATTTCCTTACTAGCAAAGTTGCTGGCAAGTCCAAACAATAATTAACATTGTATCCAACATCTATTTTTACTATAACATCTTAAGCTCTGGCAATCATCGACAGTTTAAATGTAGTGGAGTGAATGTTAAAATGCGTAGTATGCAGCATTTTACTATTGTGTTTACCAACTACATAACCTATTTTATAATAGTCGTTGCACTAATCCTGGAGGGAAAAAACCAAAAAACAATTTTTTATTTCCATTTATCTGTGGTGTAACGTTGAATACAAAAGTGGATACTTGTTGAAAACTTATTTTTTGGCCGTTGATATTACTCTAGGAGTAACTAAGTACCCTTGAGCTGAATAGTATTTGGTAGACAGTTTCCACCAATGCCAGGTCGATGTTATCTATCTTCTCCCGGGAGATTGAAGACGCGTGTTCGTTGACCAGCATGTACAAGTCAGGGTAGAACTTCATCCCTTCCACTCCCAATTGGGAGAACGCCTGACTAACCTGAAAACAATTTACGCTCAAACTTTCATAGTCTGCAAGGTTATATGTAATTATTGCCTGAAATCGACTTTATACACTTATTGTTTACGAGGGTTGTTTTCTAAGTACGTTTGTGCGTAGCTTCTTAATTCACATGTATGCCACAACGAGACTCCTCGCTGCATACTGGCATTTTTGTGAACATAACCGTGCTATTTGCACCTCTGCAGCTGTTTACGCTTTGTTGTTATTAAATCTCCCACTGCGTACAAGTTAAGGTTAGTGATATGTTTACAGACATTCATCGTCAGATGACTGAAGTTTATAGCCCCGATGAAATTATAGAGGGTACAGAGTAAAAATGGGTCAGGGAGCTTAAAAGTGGCCATGAAAAATGTCCAATTTAGAAGGAATTGCGTTTTTGGTGTGTACCCAGACTTCTCAAAGAAGACCAAAAAGGAAAAAGTTTTCACGGTTATTTTACAAGTCATGTTCGGTAGTCATCTGGCGATGAATGTCAGCATCAGATATGTTTCTTGTGGTCAATAAACGTATCATTGGCCTAACCTTGCATGAAGCGGAAGATTAAAAAATAATTAATTTTATAAACGCACAACAAAGCGTACACGCAGGTACGCATCTGCAAATAGCGCCATTCTGTTTACCAATGACGCCAGTACGCGGTTAGCCACCTTGTTGGGAGTACTATATTATGAAAACGACCCTTAAAAAACCCTCCTCGTAGATACATCATTTGAAAGTCTGATTTGTGTGTGATACTAAAAACCAAACAAGTAAAAAAATAATTTGTAAAGTGAAATAGGGACTATTTATTGTTGACCTCAGTAGATGGAAAGTATTGTTTTGAAAAATCAGGCTTGAATATACTGAACACCATTGAATTAAATTCAACCTAATCCCTGTTCAATGTCAAGACCTGTTGTAATTTTATTGAAAAATCAATACCGTAGTATTCACATTACACTGTGAACGTTTTTTATTTTCACAATGAGACCTTTTTATGTTTTTCTGATGGATGTTTTAACTTACTGTAATCAAACGACTAATGTATATATTTCATATATATAATCTCTAATAATTAAAGCAAATTACCTCAGTACAGTCTACGATGCAGGCTCGAAGTGGGGTTACTTGAAGCATCTGATAGTTTGGTAACCGCTTTCGATCAATGAATTCTCGCACCTAAAAAAAACCATGTTGACATAGTTTTTTGTAAAATTAAATATTCTATGTTTATTTCTATTTCATAAGTAAATATTTTTGCTCTTAATTTCATCATTTGAAGTGTATAAATATTTATCGATGTTTTTGTGCATTCTCAAATTTTATAAGTTGAAAAACCAATTTAATCATCTCTATTGTATTTAAAGCAAAATTACCATATAAACTGGAAAAGTCAATGCTACACAAAGTTAGTGATATTCAAACTAACCTGCATAACCATATTGTTCCGCCCAGCAAGCAGGTTCCATCTTGACCATGAGAAGTTATAAGTGGTGCTGAAAAGAGCCATGCAGTGATAGAGATGGTTTTCCGCTGTGTAATGTTTCTGAGTAACACCTTCCACATACAAATACGCGTCATGTTCAGGGAATAAGTCTATCCCTCCCTGACGCATCTTCCTTATCAGCTGATGAGGAGGGTAGAAAATCCCCACTATGTCTTGCAGCGCAGTACTTGTGGCGTTCTGGAGCTGGTTCATACACACTTGGTTCGCTCTGATGATGAACTCTACGATGACAGTCGCAGCAGTGATACTTAAAAACACTCCCCCTGGAGGACCTTTCCAGTCCGGACGGAGTTCCCAGGTCTGGTAGGGAAGATTTACAAAACGAAATGTAGCAAGTCCCACCGGAGCCATCAGGCCTGTTTTTATCGTCAGAATTTGCTTTTCCTCGTTAAACTTGGGATCGTGAATGTTTGCGGTGGACCAAATCTTCTTGTGCCGATTCCACTGGACAGCGGTGGGTGGCTCAAACCACAAGACAGATTCAGGTAGGGAAATATTGATAGCGACTAGTTTCAGTTGAGCACTCTCCAATGCAGCTTTGGTTTCAGCGTCGGTTTCATCACCTGTGTTCTCCTTGTCTGGAAGCGTGACGTGGTACTCCTCGTAATAGTCTATGTGTTGAAGTTTGTGTTCACCTTCTAAAATCGTCAACAAAGTTCTGTCAGGTAGTATTTTCGGCTGGGGAGGCTGCTCTAAGAGATCCAGATGGAACACTCCTCCCAACACAGTGTATCTTCGCATGTTTAATTCCCCAGGCTCCAATTGTACCTCTAAATACTTTCTCAGTTCGCTGATCTTGCTTAATTCCTTTTCCTCCATTATCTCAGAAGGTTTCTTGCGAGGTTCAGGAGGTTTTTCCAAAGGAATTTCAGCAGATTCTTCCAGTTTTCCTGAAGCTGATGTGGAACTGGAGGTTGGTGCTATCCCAGTTGAACTGTTTGCCTGTAGCATGTCTGATGAAGAAGTAGTCTCAGCTATTTTGTTCTCACCAAGAGACATGTTATCTATTTGTGTAGCTGCTTCAGTCACTTCTGGCGGTGGTTGATAGTGTTTCTTCTTACTTTTCTTCTTCAACTTCTCCAATCTTGCTGCTTCCTCTGCGTCCTGCTCATTTTGTATCCGTTGCTTTTCTTCCCACTCTGCATTTTTCAGATCGTTGAGGTTTTTTGAATATTCCGCTGGAAGAGGTTTGGCCTCCCATGTGCGACACAAGTCAGAGAAGTGGTCATGTTTGAGCCAGAGTGCTCGCACCACTGGGAAACTATGGGTAAACTTGGGTGGTAGTTGAATGGTCACACCGAGTTGGGGAAACTCTATGAAAGGTGGTGGTCGAGAATCATTGAAAGCACGAGGAATTTTCAACACTGTCCACATACAAAGGATCAAAAATGGGCATTCCTTCAGGTACGTCATTGTCTCCAAATCAACTGGATTCATATTTGTCTCTAGTTGTCTCAGAATGTGGAAAGATGAATTGTCCAGTCTCTCTTGTAACTCCTCTCGAAAGTTGTTCCGCACTTCTTTCCAGTTTTCAACTTGTTTTTGCTTGTTGTTAAGAGGGTTATCGATCAATGTGTCAATCACACTGAGTAAGTTTAAAACTTCTTGCGTTTTCGGCAGATTGTCATCAATGAAATTTGTCTTTTTATCTAGTTTCCATAAGAATAGATATGTGTTCATCTCAGCTAGGTTGGCTGGATTGGGTAATCCGTTACATTCTAGGTACAGCTTCCATTCCTCTGCCTCTCTAAGTGCAATGTCTTGTAGAAGCTTGGTCTGTTGGTACTCCTCAAACAGCTTACAAGAATTTCCCAGGTGTTCAAAACGTATGTGGTGTTCAGCAACTTCTCTTTCGGCCCTCTCTTTGGCTTCTTTAGCTTCTCTTTTCAATCGTTCTTTCTCCTCTTTCTGTAATCTCAGACGTTCTGCCTCTTCCTCTGCCGCTTTCCGTTTTGCTTCTGCTTCAGCAAGCCTTTGTTTCTCCTTTTTCGTCAACTTTTTCTTAGCCATTATTAAGTTTCTAAGCTCTCACCTCCTTACTCACTCTCACTCTCACTTCCTTAAATATGTTTAAATTGTCATAAAGGTAGTTTGATATTCACTGAAAATTTTGTTAGTGGTGCACACAACAGTGTTGAACCAACTAAGTTGGGGTTATTATTGATCAAACTGTTGCCATGGAAGTTGTTTGTTGCAACAGGTGACTCATTCCAGTTGTTGTATTGTTGCTGTCTGTTTAATCACAGTCAATAAATACCAGAGGTGTAATGAAACTAAAAAAAAACAAAATAAAACAATAGAATTAATAAAATATTATTCTTCTGAAAATAATTAAAATAATCCCTATACAACATATTTATAATGTTAACAGAAATGAAAAAGATATCCTATAAACTTTAAGAATTCGGGTTTCAAAGTATGATATTATTTAAAATTAATATTTTAATAACTTCTGTAGACAAACTAAAAACACAATACTACTAAATTAAGAAAGTTTTTACTGAGCCTTCAGCCAATGATTGCTTACCATCCAGGAATATTAATTATTCTACATTCTGTTTGCGTTTAAAGTAGAAAAATTCATATTTCACTTTAAGTTTAAGTATAGTTTCCATTTTTTCCTATCAGTTAAAAGTTTGGAAGGTCCATCTAAGTAAATATTGTAATTTTATCAGTTTGAAAAACTTAGATTTATTTTAGTAAATTTTCTCGTAACAAATTGTTTCTTAATATTGGATGACAACTTGTAGTACTAGTGCAACTTGTTTATGCTTATTCAATTATGTTTTATTTAAGACTTTAAGTGGTTGTCAATAAAATGTTATTTTATAGGAAGAGGAAAAAGATTCTGAAGAAAATGAAGAGAAAGAAGATGATGAAGATGAAATACCAGTTAAGCTGGTTAGTTTGTAGTGTGAGAGTATCAGTAGTGGTAGTTCGGAGCGTTTCATCTTCACAATTCAGAATTCACATATCTCTTCCACATTTCACTGTGCTTTTTTAAAACTTATCACACCTTATTCGCTTTTAACACTATTGTAACAACTGACTCTGTCCAATTATTGTTTGAATATCACAGAAAAAACTTATTCTCCTACCATATAATTTCATTAACCTTTTTCATCTAGTGTTTTTGTAAGTAGAATATAAAGAGATATTTAATTTTCTTTTACTTGTAAGCAAAAGATTTTTTACACCTATATTATATCAATCATAAAGTCATAAGTTTTATAAAATATTTTTAAATTTCAGCTAATTTTCTGATTTTTTAAAACTTTTCCAATATGTTATACAACTTTTCCTCTAAAATATTAAACCTGTAATTGAGACATAAAATGAATCTACGAATCTTATAAATCCATTTAACTAAAGTACCCGCTTAAAGAAAAACTATTTAACATTAACATTATTTTTTTTTTTCAATATTCCTCCCAATTATTCAAAAATGACATTGGTGCTAAAAATAAATTGAAAATATTTTACAATGTGTTGCAATGTTTTAGGAACGCAAAGAACAGCTGGTGCGAAGAGCGGACAGTTTAAAGCGAGCGGTTCGTCAGTTGGTTGAACACACTGAAAAAATGGTTGATGATCAAAACAAGCAACCAAACCAGAATCAGAATCAGGCCGCGGGACCAAAAATGGACACTCTTAAGGTGATTGATATCAAATTAGATCTTTTTTTCTACTTTGATGATTCCCAACCAGAATGGGAGCAAGGAAAAGGAATCAAACCCAAGATGTTATTTTTTGAAGTGAACAACTCAGAAATATGACTGGGCGGTATTTTAAGCAATGATGATTTAGTGCATTGACCTATGTTTGTATGAATAAGACCACAGAGAAGTAACATAGGAAACACTCAGTGTTACACTTAAGTGGTGTCCAGCACAAGTGCTGGTGTCTAGGGCAAATTCCAACATTACTCCTCATGTACATCTCACGGTGAAGGAATACCTTGTGACCTATGCGATGGAAATTTCCGCACAGTGCTCGCTGCTCTGTCTCTTGACTTTCTTCCTTGCTTTTCACAAGTATACTTAAATGGTATAGTTTACCAGAGCTGAAAGCACACGATTTTCCCACAAGCGTGTTTTCTCTGTACCTTACTTCTCTGTGTTAAGACTTGTTTGGCCTCTTGAGTTTAAGATTTATATATATTATCTAACGATAGTGAGATTTTTTATTAGTGAATTTCCCATATAATCTATAACTGTAGGTCTAATAGTGAGACTTAGACCCAGGGGCGCTTTACTTTTTCGTTCCAGAGGCTAAACCACCATCCGTTCAAATTCATATACACATTATGTATGAATGTTTTATGTATGAATTTATACACTTTTTTTGTAAGTTACATGCTTTGGATCTTTGTCCGTTTTCAAACTTCAATAGAATTATCTAACTTTTGCCAAGTTTGGAAATGAACTAAGATACCATGGGAAAATTGGACGAGAACTGTAGTTAAAATAACTGTAACTGTAACTACTACAACGTATGGCAAATTGCAACATTAGTAGTTTGTGTCTATGCATTAACTATTTTGTATAAAGGGGGTTTGACACCACACATGCTATACTATGGACTGTTGTAGCAAGCAATGTATTAATACTGAATTACACTATTATTTATTCAATCCCCTCCACCTCACCCTAACTTTAAAACAACAGCCTACAGCTGATCAGCTGATTGATAGTTAAAGCAAAATGAGTGGGGGAACCAAGGAAACCTTCCCCTTAAACCGCCTAAATCTTGTGAATAGACCATAATTCTAACAAACTACAGACCCAATGAGGGGTTCTACAGTAGTGAAAACACACATGAACATTACAGGTGCTGGAATCTCCTAGTGGTGACCAGATGCCGGGGTTTTCTCGTCTGCCGTCACCTCTGCCCGACCTCCGCCGGGACTCTGCCTGTGATGAGTTCACCCTGGAGTCCCTACCTGTACCTACCGAGTTTGCTGATACCAGACGCAACTCTAGCACTGATGGCTCGTCAGGGTAGGTAGCTTTGTAAAATTGTATGATTTTTTCATATAAACTAATTTGTTGCTTGAGCGATTTTGTAATGTAACCACAGGGAATAAGTATTACAAATCCTTGAAGAAACAAAACACTATAGGTACGGTGTGTTTTTTATTTTGTGTGTTATAATTAAAACTCATGATTTTAGCCCCTGAGCTGTTGGAAATAATGTAAGACTAATTACTTACGTAATCCTGTCATAGCTCTACAAATTTTGTCAAATTAGGACACACTGAATTTGGTAGAACAACAATACTTCAAATAAAATTGTTCAAGCCAATAATTAAATCTTTTCTTATAGATTATCTCTTTTATCTTCAGTTTTTCTTAACCTGTAAATATTATCAATGATCAGAGATGAATAAATTTACTAACACAATAGGATAGTAATTTTAAAGAAACTAATTGTTTACTTGAGTAAAGATAAAACAACTAAAAGATCATTTTTTGTAGGACACAAGAAGGTGATGAAAGAAGACATTCACTAACAAGACAGATCTCAGTAGATTTAGCCGTAGATGTTAGAACCTCTGTGGAGGCTGCTGAAGTTAATGTACCTGACCCTACAAAATGTTTCAAACGAATAACAACCCCAGAAATGTCTTTGGACAACGACGAAGGAGAAACAATCGAGTTGTGTGTGACTGAAGCGGATGACGAGGAGAAACTAAAAGACGGAATACTATCGGGCTTTAAAATGTCTGAAGATATAGCAAATATCGGCCACATTGACTCGTCAGAAACTTCCGACGACAGCCCAGAAGTTCCAATGACCACTCACAAAGAAACAGAGAGGAAAAGGTCCTTGTCCGAAGACCGAGCTTTTGCTAAAACTAGACGATACACACGCTTACCCGTCTGTGATAGGAGAGAAGAAGACTTAGTCGAGAACGATGCAACGAATTTAATATCAACCTCACCTGAAGACGATGAAGATGACGACGGATTCAGCGACGAATTAGGGATAAGACCAAAAGAAACCAAAAGGGCCAGTATTGCTCACTTCGTCGAAGGCTTCGACATCGGTAGACGCTCAATAAAATGCAGACATCGAAATGTTGACGCAAATTTAGACCCTGAATCAGAGCCAGTTACAGACGGCAAGTTTCCTGGTTTACCTATCATTCAAATCGACAATCCTGATGACGAAAAACCTGATGAAGTACAAAGAAGTATATCCGACATTGTTAAAGTTCAAATCAACGGCTCGAGCAGCAACCTTTGTTCGAATGCAGATTCACCAGTGACTTACCTAGGGGACAATCTAGATGTGGAACATCGCAAGAGTCTTGCTCCATCAGAGACCGATGATGAAGAGCTGGCTAGATTCCATGAGATGGCTAAAGGAGGTCTGCCCAAGTTCGGAGAAGGTCCAATGGTGGTCATTGACCCCCCCTCTCCCCCCACCATCACACTGGAGGTGCCTGAGGAGGAGGGAGACTACATGAGAAGACCCAGTTTTGAGTTTTGTCGAAAATGTAAGAATGATACAAGTTTATCTTTTTGTTTAAAATACTTTTACAAGTAGTTAAGTTTATCTCCTGCTCTTCCAGGAATGTATATGCTATAGTTTATTGTCAGCTTTTTAATCAAATCAATGAAAGCACTTTATATCAGTCTGCTCTTGATTATTTCATTACTTACAATCATAGTTTACTAGACAGAATTTTCAGCTGATTTCCTTGACTCCAGCTAATTCTTATTCCACCTTATTTGTAGATCCTTTTTTGTCCTAGGGAGAAAAAGACATAATATTTTAGACCAGCTACTTAAGTTTTAAAACATCTGTTTTTGCTGCAGTTTGACAAAAAAATGCATCAACTTGATACATTTTCACATTCTCAGACCTACCCTACTTTGTTAACTATATGGTATCAGCTCCTCCCTATACAATAGATTTTCTGATATAAATTATCATAATGTTTGCTCTGCATGACACTACTCATTTCCTGTTTGCAGTATCGGCAGCGTCACCGTCGTGTTCATTGCTGCAGTGTTCACCGGCGACCTCTCGTAGGATATCCTCCGCCTCGTTGCTCCGTTCAGACTCCGCGGATCAACCGACA